TAGTGGATCGATTCAGCAAAATGGTGCATTTTGCTCCGGTCTCCGCCAGCATTACGGCGGAGACGACAGCGAAGATGTTCATTGATCTTATCTTTAGGCATCACGGCTTGCCAGAATCTATTGTTTCGGACCGTGACCCGCGTTTCACTTCGGCTTTCTGGGCCGAATTATTCCAGCTATTAGGCACGCGGTTGCTTATGTCTACGGCTGCCCATCCAGAGACGGATGGGCAAACGGAGCGTGTGAACAGAGTGCTCTAAGATGTCTTGCGCAGTTATGCAACATCGTTCTCGTCATGGAGTTCGTTTCTTCCACTTGCAGAGTATGCAGTCAACAATGCAGTCCATGCGTCGACCGGGTTGACGCCCTTTTTCGTTAACAACGCGAGGCATCCTCGCGTTCCGGCGCTCTTCCCTCTCCCCCTTCAAAGCCCCCTGTCCCCAAGCTTGGTGGGGGAGTATCTACGGATGGAATTGCGCCGAAACTATTGATGATTGATTACGATGCGAATGAGGTTGCTGCCGATGCAGCTAATGCTGGTAATTTTGTGGCCAATGGCATATCGACTCCTGACGCGATGCTTTCCATCGCGTCTCCCGTTGCTAATTTTGATCCAAATGAGAATACGTCGCCTGTAAGTTCGGCTGCAGTAACCGAATTTCTGCTATTAAGACAAGGAATTACGCGTTTTGTGCGTGATGCATTACAAGAGGCAGTCGATAAGCAAAAGGAGAACGCAGACGAACGAAGTCGAAAGAATATGTTGATATTTCGAGAAGGTGACAGAGTATTATTATCAACAAGTGAATTACCGAGCACCTCAATGACGAATTTGGGCGCTAATAAGTTAGCGCCAAAATGTATTGGCCCAATTCGGGTTGTTAAGGTGCATGGTGACGCTTACACGCTAGACATACCTACATCTATGCGTTTGCACCCGACGTTCTCAAGGCTTACCTACCGGCGGATCTCCCTTCGAATCTTCCCCGCTCTTCTGTGCCGGCTCAAAATCCGACATCCCTTGACGACGACACTGCCGACGACTGAACCTGTCCGAACGCGTGCAGAATCGATCTGCTGGGGTCCTCCGAACGCAGTTGTCTCAAGTTGACATAGGCGCTCAGCCAGTACCAGCTGCTCACGTCGAGTCCGCTCATCAGCCTCAGTCGCAGCATCCGCACGATCTTGAGCTCTCTCAGCGATCTCGCGAGCATCAAGTAGGGCATTCTTCGACTCCTCAGCTTCAGCGCGAAGTAGGCGCAGCTCGTCATTCGATTGTACAGGCGCCTGATTGCGAGAATCGGCGCTCATCGCCAGAGGTCTTCCGTCGTGATGCTCCTCCTCCCTTGATTGATGCATCAGGTGCGCGGCGCTGGATTGTCGACCGAATTGTCGATAAAGAGGATCATAAGTTTTATGCGCCGAGTAATAACTCGGTGCCCACGAAGAAACACGTCGAGAAACATTACAGGGTTCGCTGGTTGGGATATATACGCCGGCGGACGATACATGGGAACCTCGAAGTATGCTGGCTCAGGATGTATCAGACGTGGTCGAGGATTATGAGTCGCGTAGGAAGACGGCGATAGCGAGCGATGCTGCCGATTCCAGCCCCAATCTCGCGAGCCGTGATGCTCGCGAGCAGCCGAATTTTGACGACGAGTCCCCGAGCGATTCCGAGATTAATTATGAGGCTCGAGAAAACTTGGATGGCATTTTGCGACTATGTGAGGTGCCATAGCGAATCAAACTTTGGCGCACGTGGGGATCCAAACAGCGACATCACGATCAATAACTCAGTGGCAAGCCACTGCACCAACGCAATGATAGCGAATAAAGAGTTTCGTTATGAGTTCTCGCAATTATGGATGATAAACGCCGATAAAACTGTATAGCGTTCACGGGATTAAGTGTGCGCCCGTGACTCGCGGTGTCTGCTCCCTGCAGATCATACGGTTGTTGTCGTCAGATATATCCTTGCGCGCGCGGTCAGGGTCATGCTGCCCAGTTGTGTGTCACTGAGCAGGCTCGAGGTTGTGTCGCTGCATTTTTGGTGAAAAGAATCATTTGTCATGTTATAAGCTTACGTTGTAGTAAGCACAACTTAAAGAGGGAGGTGATGTAATGAGGCAACCTATTACATAAGTAGTTATAGGAATGATATATAATTACATAAGTAGGCATAGGGCAGTATCCGATTAGCGGATACTGCGCGTCATTTTATTATTAGTTTATATTTGGGGTGCCAGACCCAATAATTAGCCAATAATAAGTTGACTTCCATATGGAGTGGTTCCCATGAGCTAGAAAACATATTCGCACTTACTGCGAATTAAAACAAGACAAAAATAAAACAGAGTTATATTTACGAGTTGATTAAGAGCTCTTCCTCAACGCCTTTTTAGTGTAAGACGGTAACGGGTCCTTAGCCCGTTACAAGGTGACCTTATGTGACCAGTTTGCCCCAGGTGACCGGTTGACCCCAAGTGGACCAGGTGACCAGGTGGCCCAGCAACGGGGGCGCCAAAATATATCTCTTCCCCGGAACAGGTGGGTAGATCGAAACAAGTTCACACTTAAGTCTTGACACCTCAGGCCAACTATCCTGAGGTTCAACTTGCGTTGCTTGAGCCGTCACCGCACCTGACGTCCGTGGCCTAAGGGTATCCCGCCCGGAATAGGTGAGGTGACGGAGAAACGCTTGGAGGGGGGGCGCTTAAAGCTGCCACGTGTAATGCAAATTCGAGTTTGTTTATTTATCTTATTCTCTGTATGTTTTTCTTGCCTGTCCCTAACCCTTCGCCCTGGATGGTACCACGTGTCAACTTGTGAGAGAACAACTATCTCTTTTAGGATATGGGACTTGTACAGGCTCTGCACTTTTAAGGAAGCCTTATACTTTCTATAACCTTGGGTCACCTGGCCACCTGGGGTACCGTGTGGCCACTTGGTCACCTGGGCCACCTGGGCCAACTGGTAACTTTGGGTACTTTGGAAATGTGGGGCAACCGGTCACCTGGAGTCAACCGGTCATCTGGGGTCAACCGGTCACCTTGGGGCAACCGGTCACCTGGGGTCACCTGGGTCACCTGGTCCACTTGGTCACCTGGGTCACCTGAAGACAGTCGTTTGGTAAGATATAAGCTCGAACGAACCCCAGGAAGTATTTTGACCTGTGGGTTCGTACCCATTCAAGACCCGCTATAGGAAGCGGTTTCCCTACGGGGAACAAGAAAAGGGGTCGAAAGACCAAGAAACCGTTAGCCACCGAAGGGGTACATAGTACCAGGTGCACTGCTCTCGACCCACTTAATTGAGCCCAACCCGGTCCCAAGTGAAGTATATATCCACTCGGGGACCACCACGTTCCTCTATACAAGACCAAGTCTCTATATCTTCTGCGTCAACCGAGGAGCAAGACCAACCAAGCCGACGGGTACACAAGGTGAGACCCAAGGTTAACACGACACGGTATCGGGGTACCCCCTCCGCAAGTCAGCAGTCCGGTGCTGTGTGTGTTTGTGGTTCTCTCACGTCGTTTGAGAATCCACTCCACCACAGAAGCTTGTGTTACGGCATAAGTAGCCGAGGTCTGTTTTCCTCGAGTACGTCTTTATCGTCGCCACATCTCGCGCATCTCTTCATCGCCACGCGAACGTTCGATTCCGCTGCAGTCGTACTGCTTCCAGACGCAAAGACTCTCCGCGTATGTTCGCGGATGGTTGGGCACCGCCACGTTGGACGGTGCCAGGAGTTGCTCGCCGTCGTTTCTCGTTTGCCGTGTTGGAGTGATTCCAGTGGTGTTGTTCGAGGCCATGACTGTCTGCGAACGCCTGATGATGCTGTGGTTTGACTGGGTCGGATTCTTCCCTGTGTTTTGTCGCACCCAAGAGTGTGTGCTAATTTGTGTTGGGGGGGGGGGGTCGGTGGTGTAATGGGGTGTACCGTTACACAACTAGGTATAGTTAATTGTATATTACATAAGTAGTTATATGCTACACCCGAGATAGCGAGTGTAGCCATTCGTATCTTTATTTGCAATCAGTCTCGCTATCAGCCAATAGGAGAGAGATCTGTAGTTGAGTGGTTCCCATGAGTTTGGTAACCACTCGTACTTAGTCCAAAAACATAAAAATATAAAAATCAGAGCTGAAATTTACCTTAGCACGCTAGTTATTGCGTACTCCCTTACGCTTCCTCTTAAGTGCTATAGCGTGTGTAAGTAACGGAGCTCTAGCCCCGTTACAAATTCAGCTCTGCAGCTTTCAAAAGCCGAGACTGATACGAAATGACACGGTCAATGCCGTTGTCATCCTTCTGCATGAGCGCGCTGCCGCCATTGCAAATTTGCTTCCATCGCAGACGACGCTAAAGGGCTTATCCGAGTCTGGCAATGCCAAGACGGTGCCTCTACAATAGATTGTTTCATTGACGTAAACGCATCTACTTAATCTTTATACCAAGTCCATTCTGCATCCATTTCCAAAAGGTCAGATAATGGCTTAGTCTGCTCCGCGTAATTCTTGTTGTACTTATGCAAGTAATTAGCGAGCCCAAGGAATTGGCGCAGATCCTTCACGTGTCGTGGGACTGGCCATTCCTTTGCAGCCTTTACCTTTTCTGGGCCTGCTCGTACACCATGTGTACCTACGATGTAGCCCAGCACAGGTATCTCGGGGACCTCTATTACGCACTTTTGCAAGCTAACGTATAAATGGGCGTTACCCAGAATTTACTCGGCTTCCAAGAACGAAGCTAAATATGTACCGCAGGATCTTAAACTGGTGCTATGGGCACCAACCATACTGACGGCAAGTCCCTATCTGCACGAAGCAGAAGTAATGCAAATACCAACGCTGCGGAAAATCCCTCATAGACCTCTTCACTAATATGAAGAATTTCACCTTTGAGACTCTATAGTACTGATAACTAGCTGCCTATTTCAGTACATGGTGGGATTAATAAAGGCTCCAGTCTAAACAAAAAATCGATTGGCGACAATGGGAAGCAAGAGGAAGTGTGTACCATTGCAATTAGAGACTAGCCAGACAAACAAGAAGAAGCACCATGGCGAGAAGCAATACAAGGTGTCAAAAACGAAGCAGGTGAGCAGATTGGCAGCCCAGAAGAAGCAGGAGAAGGCAGCTAAACCGACAGTTCTGGCCAACTCCAATTGGATGGCTCTCAAGAGCAAGATCCAGCAAAAGAACCAACGCCACAAAAGCAGCCAGAATTTTGAAAAGAAGCACGACCTAGATGTAAAAGTACAGAAGCAACGGGTAAAGCAGGAGAGGCAGGCGAAGCGCATGAAGGCCCGAACTGCCGTATGGGTGAACAACTCGTGTATCGTTGCCATGGATTGCGAAATGGTAGGCGTCGGTCTTTCAGGCAAGACCAGTGTACTTGCACGCTGCAGTATTGTGGACTACGAGGGCAATGTACTATACGACAAGCACGTGCGACCAGTGGAAAAAGTCACGGATTTTCGGACCCACGTCAGTGGCATCCGCTCTAGTTCGCTTCGAAAGGCAATTCCCTTTGCTCAATGTATCAAGGAGGTGGGCAAACTTATGCAGGACAAGATTGTTGTGGGTCATGCGTTGAAAAACGATTTTCAAGCTCTTATGTTCACGCCGCCGAAACACCTCATTCGAGATACCGCCTATTACCGACCGTACATGCGTCGCAAAATTAATGGCACGGTATGACACGGCAGTTCCATATTGAGTAAGCTTTATGATGTTATGACTGAGTGTAGTCTGTCAAATGCTGTGCAACGTGTAGAAATTGTATCCCAAATCGCTGAAGCACTTGACCGAGGAGGTGCTGGGCAAGCAGATCCAAACCGGACAGCATGACTCTGTACGTTCTTCTTTACTGGCTATGTTTGCTATTGTATTTCTAATGCTTTGTTGTATTGCAGGTTGAAGATGCTCGTGCGACACTAGAGCTGTACAAACGCGAGCAGTACGTGTGGGAGAAGTATTTGCGCACGTCGAAAAGCAGCAGCTCGTTGGTTGGTGTGGCACCCGCTTTGCCGGAGAAAGAGGTAGATGACGACGTTCTCAAGCCACTTACTGCTGTTGATAAAGCTCATCTAGACAGTGACAATGAAGAGTTAAGCATTGGTCGTCGCTTAATGGCTGTCCCAGATTCCAAGGAGCTTGCCATGATGGAATACGGCGAGTAAGCGGATATATTTTTTAATAATGTCCCGTAAATAGAGAGGAAGACTTTTTCTCCTTAAATGTCTATAAAGTCGAATTTACATTATCTTTTTTACGTAAAAAGTTTACCTGTAAAACATTATAGACGATAGGCACCAGTCAGTTTAGAATTGTACATTTCTGAGTCATAAGTAATAGTCGTCATTATTTAATCTATGCTTGTCTGTGTGTATCATTTTACCGTAGGGCTTCTCTTTACCAGCTAGTAGCCTTGCCATCTTTTGCTTTGTCTTCTGGATAGAGTGAGAAGGCGTTATCATTCGTGGTTATGTAGTTAAATATGAGGCCTATAAGTACTTCTGGAGTTTCTTCGCTCGAGTTTCTGAGGTCTCTACTGCCTTCGGGTACCAAGGGCTTTAGGACTTGATGCACGAGAGAGAACGATTAAGAGGCCATGGCTTTTTTCTTATCATTGTTCTCAGCAGTCTGTCCTCGTAGCCTATTGCGGGACCGGAGACGGTGCTGTTGCCTTCTCGTGTGTTGAATGGAGGGGAAGCCCCAGACAAATTTGTCAAATGTTTGACGTGTATGTTGTACACTTTGCACTATTTTCTTTCCACTAGTTGGTTTCTTCCGTCCAACAGGTGATATACGCAGTGCAAATAACAAACTGTGCTACGTGAGGAATTCTCTTTTGTCAGGTGTCGGTACTTGGCAAAGGCACTTCAGCGTTCTGGGCTTCCTGTGGTAGTCACAACCATTCAAATGCTTCGTTTCAATTGACATAGATAGTAAATGGATCTTGTGTAGATAGGACATGATCAATAGCATAAAATATGATGATACAGTATACGGCAAAGACGATAGTACTCGAAAAACGCTGGGAAAAATTCCCTAATCATTCGTTTACGAGCTATTGTCCTTGTCAACTCCCAGGCTTTCAAGGAGGTATCCCAATAGCAGTTTGGTGCATGCTTCTCCGGCGGCCATCGTTTTTTAGATATACATATGCGTTGCTAAGTGTGTCACGAACAGCATTATACAGTCATGGTTGGTAGTGGCTGTGGCGCTGCTGTCGCTTGTACGGTTGACAGCGGCTTTATCATAACTAAACCACCGCACGGCAACATCCAGCCACTACAACTATTTTCAAACGTTTGCGGAAAAACTTTCTGCACCTACGGACAAGCAGACCTTAAAGAAGGTCGCCGTCTTGTAGTTCACTAGCAAGATTAAGATGTTGTTCAGCGGCAAAAAGGCGCACACAGAACGAGGTTAACAGTCACGAACAGAGAGTGTATTTACGCTTGAATTCACCTCCTTTCCTTCTCGACGAAATTGGGTCTTCTTTCTACCCTGGACAACATTTTGACAAACATTGCTTCGAGACGTTGCAACGTTCTAGTTTTTCGTGAGTTTTACAGCTCCTGGAAGGATGAATCGTCGCCAAAATGCATTCTTCCTCTTCATTCTCTTCTTTGGCATCTGCAATAGCTTTTTTTCTTGAAGTATGTCACGCGATATCTTGGCTTCCTTGTTTGTAGGCTTGGCTCGTACGTAAAGGAGCGTACTAAGAGGGAGACTGTTGCAAGCTGGTCCCATTGTTCTTGACGTAAAGAGTGCGAATGTGCAAATGAAAGCTCCGAGAGCAGTCCTATACCAAATAACCAGCAGCTTCTCTCTATGCAAAGCTTATCTCCGTATGCTGTGTCCTGTATTTTACTACCGTGATACCGACAGATCGTTGAATGTATACGCCTATATTCTAGCCAGCATTGGGCCTTCCCATTGTGTCATCAAATTTTCTAGCTTCAAGATCAGACTTTAATAACGCCATACTGAAGCGGCGTCGACATGTATCGAGCTACATGTTCACGCAGAAGATGAGATATTGTTTTCTAGTAAAAGGCAAAGACTGAGAAGGCCACAGTCGACAAGTGAGAACGTTTTACCATACGTCAACTTGTAGGTTGTTCTAAGAAAGACGGGGACGTCATTTGTAGGACGTCCCCGTCTTTATTAGAACAACGTAGTCTTCACAATTGACGGTTGATGGGTCCAATCGTTCTAACGTCCATGCTCAGTCACTCTACCGAGCAAATTCGAAGAAGTGCTTGGCATATGAACGCAATGAGCAGGTCAAAGGCAAACTATGATCTATGCAACCCCAACAAAGTTGAATCAACAGATGACGGACGGTACGAGGATTGAATGTACATGTATCCTACAAGTCACAGTTAAGCCGCAAATAATACCTCATTGCCTCCCCTTTGACCGTGTCGTCTTCATGTAGGCGCACACGTGACTTCGTCATTGTTGCGCTTACAACTTCAATCAGATTTCGCAACACTCACAGCGCGCGATATCTGATAGCCCAGCTACCTGCTACTTAGCTATACCTATCAAGTTCTGAACTTCCGACAGCTCGCTCGCGGCTCACTTTCGAGTAATACATCACAGGGAGCATCAAGGTCTTGCACGACCAGAGTCAGCCACACCAATATTAAACGACACTGACATCTATGATTGATAGTTTGTCTGTTGTCTTGATGAGAGTGTTTTGTAACTACTAGAGTAAGATAAAGAAGTAGACGAAGAAGTAGACGAAGCACAAGAAGATAGAACCAGGAAGTGGCGATCGCCATTGCAATTCGAAACATTGGAGCATGATGTCAAGTACATGGACTGTTAAGAGATCGTCAACAATGGTAAAGTCCATTTTGCAAACCACATCGAACAATCACACAACGACTTGATCAATGTGATTAGGTCGAATGTTGTTTCTGAAAACTATGTCAAAATCGCCTTGAAAACGTAAGCGCTTCTCTCAAGGCGTGAGATTTTAGCTTGCGAGATGGCGCATTCTGTTTCCAGCATTCTGTGACTTCCACAGTCCTATCATTAACTCAAAGTTTTCCAATTCCATAAGCAGCTTTAATGGAGATTTTACTCCCCTCCTCCAACAATACTAGTCTCAGCCTGGCCTTGCTGAATATTTGCACCGGCCGGAACCGGTGATTCATGCGATTGCGTCCGCATGGAGAAGCCTTTCCCGTCCTCAGCTTATCCTAAGCTTTGCCAATGCTTAAGTTATGCAAAAATATTCGTGAGAAGGCAGTTGCACCGTTGTGACAGTACGCGTCTTTATTGTCTGTCCAGTCCACTCTTCGTGGAACACCCTCAACGCTAAGAACACACTTCGATAGTCTGAACGATATTGTGCATCCGCCGAGTCATCTCGCGCATCGTTAAAATCATGGTAGCTCAGCATCGGACACATTTATATATCCAAACTCGCCATTCTTACCAGTGTCTAGAAGATAAGCATATATGCTTCTCTCCAAAGAAACCAACTATACAAAAAGCAGCATTTCACACGAAAAGTTTTACGGTTGAAAGGTGAATTCACCGTGTCGAATCATTTGTCAGTCCACGAGATGCTACAACGTTGTCTCAACGCCGCATTTCTTGTCTACGCTACGAACAATCACGCGAATATCATTCCAGTGCAAAATGAAGCATACATTATTCAATAATACAGTAGAACGTTGAAAAGCAGCAGCAGCTGTGGAGCACGATGACTGTGCCGTTTCTTCCGACTGCGTGTCCAGCCTTCTTCGCTCCGAGAAACCATATATGTTAGAGAACCCAGAGAAAAGGTAGCCATATCGCACGACCTAATTGGAGGATGAACGGGGAGTTAACGCAACATAAGTCACGTCGAGCCTTCATTCCTGCAGAAAATGGCGTACTGCAGTGAGAAGAATGATGAGCACAATGACACTACACCCAATTACTGGATGTTCACCAGCGTGCGTGTGCACATTGTTTACGAGCCGTCCTCCCTGCTCATCCAAGCATCAACAAGTTCAATAAAGGAGCTGCAAGTTACAATAATCAAGTCGTCGTACCAATCCGGTGACATGCCAAAGTAGTCCTCCATAACATCTTCTCCGTCGTCGTCCATAGCAGTAGGTTCCTCCATTGTTTCATCGTCAGTATCAGTATCATAGGTCAATCTGTTTGCCAATACATGGTCAAAAGAAGGTCTTCTCACTTCCCCACATTAAAATAATAGCTCGAGTCTTTGATAAAGCTCACCCCTTGCAAATGCACGTAAAATAAAGCACTTTCTTCTGCACTTTGTTGTAGAAAAAGTAGTTGAACGACCATCTATATATATATATACAAACCCATCAATCCATTACAAACCCACACAACCCCTCAAAAACCACATAACCTCTAACAATACATACAAATTGCCATCTGAAAAAGGGTCCGAGTCCATATCAGGAATGTAGCTGTACACATCACACTCGTCGAGTTTAATAGCCTCAGCTATGTCCTCCCACATCTTTTCAACAAAACCATTGCCCTCAGCTTCCAGTAATTCAGCCAAATCATGATTAATGCACTGCAGCGCTATCCGAAAATCCAATTCTTTTCGGAATTGTTCAGGCTTAACAGTACTAAAATCATAGTCTGGAAAACTCGCATTCATTGTCGAGATGAGATTGATAAGCAATTTGCGTGTAGCAGGGGCAGCGAGAGGTCCCAATGGGGACGAGCCCAAGAGATCAGTGGCTGAAGCCTCGATCTCCTGCTGGTAATAAAGCTCCAGACTTTTGGCCAAACGCTTGTCACTACCTGCTTTCTTGCATGAATATGTCTCCAATTTACCATTAAGTACACGGTCACCAATCTCGTAGCTCCCAAGGACAGAGTTAAGCCACGACAATTGGGGTTCCTCCAAATACTTCATCCTGACTCTATTTTTTTCTGTAGCATGTATTGAGTTTCACGATGTGACGCGTCATTACCTGTACAAATTTATATTTGTCTCAACGTGAACGACCAAAAGCAGAAAAACCTAAGACTTTCTTATATCCGACCTGTTAAAGCCTATATTTTTGAAATTATAAACATAAAGTCAGGTACACCACATCAACTTCTTTAAAACGACGTGCTGGATATTATAAATTATGAGACGTTTGGCTTTACGACGACCCGAGACTTTTACGGACAAGTACCGTCTCTTAGGCAAGATTGGAGAAGGTACATATGGGATGGTATTTAAAGCTGAAGCGTATTCTTCTGCATTACTACCATGTCCTTCATCAAGTGGTGTGTCAATTGCTGCTGAAGATGAAGAGCCCATGACGTTTGCTATAAAACTGGTTAAATCTCATAAAGAAGGAAAGAATGATGTGGTTTTATCAAGTGCTACAGTTCGAGAAATTAAATTACTGCGAGAATTACATCATGATAATGTGGTCCACCTCCATGACGTTCATGTTGATCCACGGGACAAGTCACTGGCTCTCGTGTTTGAATATGGAGACCATGATTTGCATGATATTATTGTACAAAGTAAACAAAAACCATTGGGAGAATATACGCGGAAGTCACTCATGTATCAGATTCTAAAAGGTGTGGACTACATGCATGACGCATGGGTGATGCATCGAGATATGAAACCACAGAATATTCTTGTTGTCGGTCATGGACGTAAACGAGGTCAAGTGAAATTGGCAGGTAATTAGAAGATGGAGGAGGTATTAGATATGAGAGGATGTGAGATTATTGACAGTGGCTTGTTGTGTAGATTTAGGTTTGGCACGTATATACAAGGAACCAATTAAGGCATTATCAGATGTGGAACGTGTCGTCGTAACACTTTGGTATCGTGCTCCAGAATTATTGCTGGGTGCAAAACATTATACAAAAGCAGTGGATCTCTGGGCTGTTGGCTGTATTTTTGTCGAGCTGATTAATACTCGTGAACTATTTTGTGGCAAAGAAGTGGAAGGATCGAATGCCCCATTCCAGAAGGACCAATTGGATAAAATCTTCAAAGTGCTGGGAATGCCAACGCCGCAGACATGGGAAGGACTTGAGAATTTGCCAGAGTATAACCATGTTGTGCAAATGGGACGTGAACGCAAGTACCCGACGCAGTCGGAGCTGAAGAATGCTGTCAAAGTTGGTCCAGGTCGAGCTGGAACAGCTTTGCTTGATCTGCTCTCGAGATTGCTAGAATATGGTAAGTATATTGTGTGTTGGTTATGAGCAGGCCTGTTACTTTTTGCTCTTAATGACAGCTTATGTTGTTGTGTACTGCGAGACCCTGAAACACGCATTACGGCAAAGGAAGCGCTAGAGCACGAGTATTTCAAGGAAATTGTGCGTACATTTTCGCTCTATTTTGCTATAGACTAGCACGTCACTGATTTAATTTGAAATGGACAGGAGCCTGAACCGCGGGACTGGGCATTTGACGAGCCTGGCAAGGAACCTGTTTCTTTTCGCACGCAGACTGTCGAGCCCGTAGCTGAAGAAAGTATTCCGTGGAAAACTAAGAAAGATTGTGCACCTGGAGCTGAGGCTAAGCCGTCTAAGAAACTTGGAGCCAGCAGTCCTCACCGAGAAGGTTCTGGCAGCCGGTCATCGCAGCACCAGAATGATCACCGCGGACGTGATGCTCACTCACGAAGCCGCAGCCACCATAATTCACGAGACGTGCAGCAACAGCCCCAGCGGCGCAACGATCGCAGCAACGTAGGAGATGGTAATAACTCACGAGATACTCGAAACAGAGGAGCACTGGCTGGAGGAAATGCGCAAGGTGCAGGTGGATCCGCTTGGAGAGACCGAGGGCCCGGTCGAGCAGGAGGAGCTGCAGCCCCTCACGCTGGTTCTGTGACTGGAGGTAAACGACCAGGTGGTGGTGAACGACCCAGCAGTGCTTCTAATACAGGAAGACCTCGAAGTCCTAAGCAATCAAGACGTCGATAAAGTTATAGCTTTTGCTACGGCTTACATGTACGTTTTGCCCAACTTTGCCGATCAGGAGATTCTTCATGGTTTCTACTTGTTTAAAACTTTTTCGATGGCATCCATCAACACAGATTCAAATGTAGTATTACCAGAGGATTTCCTTACCAGCCCGTTCTCTTTGTCCATCTCCTCGCAGTTTGGTCGTTTTATTTCTTGGGAGTCGTGTCTGCCAGCAAACGCTCCAAGTCGGTAATGCTTTCAACCAGCAGTTCCTTTAGCTGAGGAAGGTCTTTGCGGTAGCTCGAAAGCTGGAATGTAGAACCCTCTTTCTCAATTCCGTAGCCGATGCCGTAGCAGTCCTCGTTGACAGGACCAAAGCTACCCCCTTCAAGTGCTGGGCTTGACAGCGTACTGGTCGATAGAATGATTTTGTTCATAATCTGGTAAGCTGGCAGTGTATAGAATTCTGGCACGTTGATGCCTTGTAGCTCTGCCATGGCTCGTAGTGCAAAGAGGTGCCGGTCAAAGCCTTGGCCCATCACGCCGTTCTTCGTCAGCTCACCGTGCTTCGTCACGGCTACGCGCAGGGCATTGGCCTTGTCCATATCTGACGCAGAGGCATCCACCATCGTGCGAACAAATTTCACGGCCTCATTCGTGCAGCTGCGCACAGTCTCGGTACGTCCGTGCTTAAACGCTGCGGTACTAGCACTCTCATAAGTGGCCACAAACTTCTGATGCAGTTTGAAGTGCGCCAGCTGGATGGTCATTTGCATGAGTCCGTCCGTGCCAATGTTGTATTGCTTGCTAACAGCACGTGTGACTGGAGTCTCTGCGCACGCAACCAATAAACGCGACACCCACTTATCATATGTCTTCTTGGCTTCATTCAACAACTTGTTTGTCTCACCGCTGATATCCCATGTAAGTTCACGAGGTTTCGCTTGGCTACTCGTTTTCAGCACAGGATATTTGATGCTATCATCGTACATCTCGTTCAAATAGCGCAAAACAGCGACACCATCCCCCCAAGCATGTTCAAAACTCACAGAAGCCGTACCATTCGCAGCAACTATCAGCTGAAAACTCTTGTCAAACCAGTGATTACTGCCGTCTCCAATCAAGAACGTGCTACTAATCTGTTCCGGTGTAGCTGGGGCCTCATGTTCAAGACACACCATAAACAATGCACTATCAATCTGCTCCAGCGATGCTTTATTATTACCACCACCACTTGTCTCGAGCTTTTGACGTGCATTGGCCCAAGCATCACGGTTCATGGTCGTCATTAATCCCATGCCTGGTGTATTAGGTGTACTTGTCACCAATGGCTCGGCCAATATTGCTTCGATATTGGCCAATATCTGCTCATCTGAGACCGCATCACCTTCCTCTGTCAACACGTCAAATGTAAAGAATCTTGTCCCTCTTTGCACGACAATATGTTTGGATGCAGTCGCCACTTGAAGTTCATCTTGTCCCGTCTTTGGCAATCTCGTACTGGAAAATAAGTGTTTATATTGTGACATATCCAATGGATAGGCCCCAAAAGCTGCTGCTCCATAGAAACTCACATTTTCTGGTAAAAATTTACAAAAATATTGAAATGCTTTCGTTTTGCTTGTGTGGGGTTTCGTGTGGAACACATCAGGTTGGAAGTTGCCATCACGGAGTGTACGGTACACACGAACTGTTGACGCAATCAAAGAGGTTGCACGTTGACTTGGACTGTTTTTGGCAGGGTTGGGGTCCATCTTCAACTTGATTTGTGGATTGTAATTAATAGGCAGTGGCTGGCGGTCCTTGAGGTACATTTCAAGCCACCACTGATTTATGTACGAGGTATGTGCATTTTCGGTATCACGAGCAAGTAAGGCACGATGAAGGTCAAGCCCTACCCCGTTTTGAAATTCCAATACAGCACGTTGGGTCTGTGCAAGCTGTTGCGAAGTTACAACGGGCTCGATGGCCGATAGGTAACGCGATAGTGAGTCTTCAAGTTTGGGAATTGGTAGACGTGTAAGACTCTTTTGAAAGTGATACGTAGGGATTATAGTGTCTTGTACGTAGCCATGTAGAGACGAGAAACTACGACGGAATAATGGACGAGAAGATATTTGGATCATGACGGACACGTTTTGTTCAAATGATAGTTCTTGTGCTGACGTAGGGTAGGTATACTATCATAAGACACGTCAAAACTGATTCGAGAAGCTGACGCGAAAAACAGAATCAGATATATGAGTTCTAGAATTGATACCTTGTAGAAGACGATAACGTGAAGGAATTGGTTTAAGGAGGTGAGCTACTTGATATTGGTTTTGAAAGGAATATTACTGCAGTACGTAGTACTGAAAGTACGAAAGTATGACTTATAAACTACACCGCACATATATATTTATCTAACGCCAATTTCATGAGACTTGTGACACTCAAAACCTAGGGTATTACTTTTTCCCTCTCAGAATAAAGCCTGAATACGTCCATGAAGCATTGATCAGTTACACTGAACTAATATCAATACAAGAAGAACAAAGGTTAGACTGCTACACTTTACCTTTGAAACTCGTCATCTGGAATGGATAACATGGATCCATCCATTACCATAATAAACTCAATGGCACTGCGTAAATTCACAAAACAGTATCCAGCTCTACACCAACATTAAAAAAAAACAAAAAAACAATGAGCCACCATACGCCATGCACATTCATGTTAGCAAGACAATACTCACTTTGACATCAAGTCAGCTTGGTTCCGGTAGGCTGAAATATACTCGCAGTTGGAATGCAGTCTCGGAATTTGTGAATGCAGTACGATGTAGATAAAAACTGGCAGGAAATCGTCGGCACCTGGACGGCTGCCTGAGTCTCCCCTCGATAAATTCAGAACACTGAAAATCACGCCGCAGCACCGCACAATACAATTGATTTTTTCCCCTGGTGAACGAAACGAATTGATTCGCCGCAATTCGTCTTCGGCCAGCGACCATACGACTTCATTGCGCATACAAGGTTTAATATCCAGCATCGCCGGCGTAATGAACTATCTCGACAAGACATGCAACCTGATTAGTACCTGACAGAGTATACGTTCAAGTATATATGATAATATATAACGTACCGACAATAGCTGCATTCGTCGAAGTAGTGCTTCATCCTCTTTTACCCAATCATGGCATTCTTTCAGTCGATTGAACGCAATATCGGACACCTTATCCATCACATACTTTTCAATACCATCACGCGCCTTGGCTAGTTTCGCATCCGACACATGACGCCAGGCAGGATGATGTAACAAATTGTCCCCCATGCTCTCAAAAAATCGGTTGCATCGGCGTCGGAGCTCGTGTGTTCCATAGAAGTAGTATTCAATGTAGTCTGTCGAGCGAGGAGGTCGACCGTCGCCACGAGGCCCCAAAATCGAGCCTACAAACACGCGGATTTTGTTCAGAATGTCTCGGGAGGCGGGCTGACTAATCCGTTGCAGAAATTCGCCATATGTCAAGCTGTCTTCGTCTGCCTTGTCTCCATCCACTGGGTCAGTGCCAGCGTTTTTCCGCTTGGTTTTTGTTTTTAGCGCTTCATCAACGTCAGCAAAGAGATTCCGCTGGCTTCGGCTTTTTGTAGACACTGATGACCCTCCACTATCAGCAAACTCAGCAGAGCCGTTCTGGTCGCTTTCGTATTTGTCCTGCCGTCCATGAACATTTGAAGGAGGCGCTTTTGGTGATTGGTTATTACCGTCGACATCGTCATCGTTACATAGGAGACCAAGGTCCCTCACACTCAACCGTGCCGACATGGTGCGATTGGACTTGCGAAGAAAACCTGCTGATCGCGCAAAAACTTTTTCAGCAGAGCCACTGTCTTGCCGCTCAAGTGACGGACGTCGCTTGACAATCGATCCACTTTTCGGTGAAGTCCACGATTGCGGAAGTTTTAAAACTGGTTCACCAATATCTCCAAACAGCGACGACGACGACGACGGCGACGACGAAACCGTCGGAGTGCTGCTAGAGCTATAAACACTGACACTCTCACTGAGACTGTTCGAGTTCATAGGCGCGCGTGGGGTGTACGGAAGCTGATCCAAATCAACTGTCACAACATCTTCCCTGACTTTCTCAAGCTCAGTCGGTAACTCCTTCTGTAGTGATTCGACAGCTTGCTTGACATTTTCATCTTGGAATCCCAATAAATCCAATTGTGCTTCCAGCATTTTCTGTGCAGGCTCTGCCAACCCCACTGGATCACTCTTCATCGAGCTACTCCACGTCCTTTTCTCCTTTTGTATCGAGATACTGCTGTATGGATCATCCAGATCATCATCGTTCACTTGATTCACTGTGTTGTCGGCTGTAAGAACTGGTAAAGTAGTAACGATTGATCCTTTCGTCGCGTCAGTAGGACCCGTCGACGCGTAAATCTTGGCAATAACTGCGTCCTGTTGCTCGATTGCAGTGGTGAGACATTCACAGCGATCACGTAGCGTCACAATCTCTAGGTCTCGTGCTACTAAGGCACTCTTCAGGTCCATGACTTGATTCCGTAGCTGCTCATTAGTACGTCGTAATTCTTTGTGATTAACTGGAACCTCTTCCTCGTGCCTCTGATAATCTTCTTTTCGTGTACTTGTATCACTTGTCTCTTGTGAGAGTGTTGAGTGTACCTTCTTGTATTGTAAAGCGCCATTAATCTTGGACACGGAATCCAGCAGCTCTACTTCAACTTCCTCGTCCGATGAACTCGACGCCATCGAAATAATTTTCGTTTGAAATGCTAAAATAATAATTATTGTTAGAGAAAAGGAATATTAATGATCGACGTCGGTTTTTGAGGTTTTTTAGGAATTGTACCAGGTTTGAGAGGTGGTTGTCAAAAAGGCTACAGCTTATTTTGGGTTCCTGATTTCCAGCTGTTCAGGCAGTGATAGACAGATGAACACGACATCAAACCAATACGAATCACAATTGCACGCTCGACAAGTTCTTGGTTTTAGAGAGAGACGCAGACAAGTCTATTTAATATGTAGTAGTTGTAGAATCTCTAGATTCAATGTCTGATTAGCAGCCAACGCCACTGGTGGTTGGACGAGTCTAGTCACCTAGAAGTGACAACTCGACCTACCAGTTGCTGAACGTGAACGTGATAAAGACAAACATCTTGTTGTCAAAGATAAAGTGAGGACCCTCGCTTGGGTCAGTCACTTGTAGAAGTGTACTCAAGCGTTTCAAGATGAGACTACGGACAGTATCATGCAAAGTACAATAACAGTAGCATCAGATGTTACCGATTCAATCGTTATGCAATTTCCGATAGCTTCATTGGACGCATGTGATATCCTGGCGCACTGTCGTCACGATATCGACCATAAGCATACTATAAATGGCATCAAGTATTGAGTCGAAGCCCATCATTGTTTACAAAATGTAGTCAACACGACAGATAACACGCCCATGTAATCGAAACCATACCTCAATACGTCATCATCTTGATTACGGCTTTCCACTTCCAACTTGAACCTCGTATTCAAGCGTATCTGATTCCGTATGGTTTTATTCGATTTCATAGGTTCGGAAGAATCTTGTCCTATCAAATGAGTCAGTTTTTGCGTCAGAAGACGACGACAAATAGGGACGTCTTTATCGGTCCGTTTCTTACTCTCTCGCGACTCGTTCATCGCCGTTCCTGCGTGTATCAACGAACCTTTACCCTTCTAGACGTATTACGCTCGTTTGTTTGGTCCTTAAAGTCCGTCTCAATTCGTTCACGTTCAAGCAAAACAAGACGTTACGTACCATCACTCCCACGACCATCACTCTCGCACGACACAATGAACGCCCGGTCCAGTATTTCTGGCTCTCCACGTCATATGACAATGGATGCAATGAATCATTTGTCGATACGGAGTCTTGAAGAACTGAATCGACTTTCCCAAGCTACACGGGAGTTTGGTGAAGTCTATTGTGGAAGTCCCGAGCCTTCCAGACGCAGTCCCAAGTTTTTACAGCGTATTTTTGACCCTTTAGAGAGCAAAAGTGACGAGGAATGTTTGTTTCGCGTCCGTCTCTCGGGTATTCAATGTCGTAATTTACAAGGACGGAGATTTAGTGGCAAAAGTGGTCCTTTTGTGGAATTTTACTGGGACGATGAAGCCGAAACGACGCCGTATTCAACACCAGTGATTAAAGCAGATTTGAATCCAAATTATAAAGGCGTGCTCATTGCATTCGAGTACAAGGCGACATTGAAAACATTGGCACAGAGATTTTTAACGGTCAAAGTGTTTTTAGACCGGAAATTCTATGGCAAAGATTTGGTTGGACATACAAAAGTTGACTTGTGGAGTATTGCGACGGGACCGGTACATCATGATCATCATTTGATTGGATGTGAAAATGGACGTGTGGTGTTTAATTGCTATATGGAGCAGTGCAGTGACTGGAACATTTCAGTGAGTGATGTGGGGGTCATGATGCCGGCAATTGCAAATGAATTGGATCGACCGGAAGGACATGATTTTCAAGAAGATGCATCGTTACCACTTAAAAAATTTGGCGTAAGTTACAAATGCACGATTGGAGCGGATGAAAAGTTTTACATGGGCAATAAACTGAAACACGCAATCTTGCGCGAGATTGGAGAGATTAGTGAAGTGAGTTTCCAGGCATTAGCAAGATTGGCAGTTTTGTCGTCTCGTGTGTCCAGACCAAACGCACAACCTAAGGGTGAAGCTGGAGGTGACGATGAAGCTGCTGCTGGCTCCCTTGTGGCGCAAGATCCGATGGGTGTGGGATGGACGTCATCATCGGACTACCTTCCTCCTATTACGCGGTATAGTACGTTCGATGAGCTCATGTCGGCAACTTTGACCTTAGAGGTGAGCTCACACTGCTAACGTTTAGAATTATTGGTTGCACTGATTTTTGCTGACATTATTACTGGTCTCGTCATCAGGTTCGCCAATTGTTGGTAGGTCGCGGTCAAATGTCTACTGATCCAGATGGAGGATTTCTAAACTTGCTAGAAAAGTACAAGAAAGACACATTGGTACGTTCTGGATGTACACGGGTGACGTAAAAATTGTGGCTGGTTGGTTAATTTTGTGCGTTCATATATGTAGGCAATACCGAATACGGATGTTCAATTCGATGAGGAGATCAGCGATACTATCCTGTTTGGGCAAACATGGCTTTCGCTGGAAAAGATTTTTGAAGACGCCCTCCAAGAGCGGATAAAGAAGAAGTACGATGCTGATCCGAGTGCAGGCATGAATGGTCTCGGGTTTTCCGAGCAGTTTGTCACGAGCAAGTTTGAGCAGAGTCTTACATTAAAAGGACACCAAGTTGGAGTGATTTATGGTACAATCTTGTTCAAGCGCATTCCTGACGTGCGACAACTTCGATGCGGAGTAAACAGCGAGAATGGCATTTCTTCGTCCAGCTCTGTAATAATTGGAGCAGCCGCAGCAGGGTCCAACAAGAGGAATCTGCGCAAATCGAAGGTGGTGATTCCAATTGAAGCTCAGCGTGTGTTGGAGAAAATGCAGGACTTGGTAGAACTAATGGCGAATCGACAAAAAGATGACAAAGAAGGCAAGGTGCGGAAGGCAACAAAGATTCTGAAAATGTTGCAAATATCTCACAAAGTGTCAATGCTGTCGTGGGTCTATGTATCTGCCGCGGCGCTGGAAGAAACAAAAAATATCTTGTTGCGGCTGTGGCAGTTCTTGCTGGATAATATTCGCGTTCGTCACTATACGCTGCGAAATGTGTTTTACGAATTGCTTTTCTATTTAGTAAAGCGCGCGGAGCTGAGTGACTTACCGTTGTTGGGATTTGATTCGACAGCGGCGACTACCGTATCTAGGACGAAACATGTACATAAAGTATTGAAAACGGACCTGGAGTTCGGCTTGAAGTTGCGAGCTATGCTTGTAGAAACCAAGTTTTGCGTCCTTCAAACGGTCTCTGTTCGTGGCGTCATGAACAACAATCTCATGTTTTTTGTAGCGAGAATGTTGTCGGTTCTGTGTTTCCGGCTTCCAAGTTTTGGTGTGGAGCTGTACCAGCTGTGGTCAGAATCGTACAATGAACCAGCGCCTGAACTTGCTGCTGAGTTCCGAATGAATGCTGATGCAGACTTGTTTGCCATGGATGGATTGGAAGCTCACCTGGACTGGCGTCGATTTCACAAAGCTGTTTTTGACGAGTATGGAGAGAAAGTGCTTCGAAATCAAGAAGAAGAAGCTGAAGACAAGTACGAGGAGACTTCTGAAGCGTGGAAATCGCGCTTTCGTCGACTTAATGGAGCAGCGAATACCTTGAATATCTTGCTGGTGGATCAATGGCTGTGGTATGTACTCGACACCTTAGCAGTTCTCAACCAGAAGATTGGATGGATCCACTTGCCAGGTTACACTCAAGTGCTGATGGTGTTCTTTTTAGAGTTGAAGACGCAGAAGTCAGGCTGGCTCCCACCCACACTCTATAAGTTGTCGTGCACAATGCTGTCGAACTCGAGCTTGATCAACCCGATGACCAAGTTCCTCCTCAGCAGCACCAGCGTGCATGACGTCACAGCGGTAATTGGTGCTGTGGAACTTCTCGGGGTGTGGATGTATATGATTCGAAGTTGGCGCGTTCGTTTGAGTTCGTACCGACTGTCGCACCTAGAAAACAATGATCGCTGGAACTTTCACCAAGACGACCAATACTCGATTCCAGCCGGCGATGAAGTTTCGTTGCTTCCGCCGTCGTTCGATTTTCGGTTTCTTTGCGCCGCGTTACGCATTTTGCTAGACTCCGAACACACTCAGGTTGTTTTGACAACTCTGGAGTTCCTTTACAACTGTTGGGATTGCTTCCCCGAGCGACATGCGGACAAGCTACGCTTCGAGCTGCTCCGGTCTTTCGTCCGACTGTTTTTGCATTGGCACAGTGAAGTACGATTCTTTTTTCAGACGCTGATTGCTTTCCGTGCAATGAAGCCTCACGGATGGACACAAAAAGGGGCATCTTTCGTGAATACACCACCACACAGCCGCCGCCAAATGGATGCTGTGGCTGCTGATTTCAATTTGTCTCTTGGAACCGAGGAGCGCAGTGACGCTACACGACGCTCGCGATCTATCAGTACGAGCAGCCTAATGGACTCGGTACAAAAGCGGCTTAGCTCAACGTCACCGCGCTCGTCACCAAGAAATTCAGCCTCAAGTTTGTCTTTAACAGTATCATCACCCAACAGCCGAGTTGGTAGCGGTAGCAGTACGCCGACTTCGGACTACAAAAGTGGAGACAGCTTTCATTTGGATCAGACAAGAACACGCAGTATATCGGACGACTTGTCTAGACATCAGATGCCGCAACAGCCAGAGATGGATAAAAACATCCAGATGAAATTCAATCGACTGCTCGAGTCGATCTACGCCGCTGCGAAAGTGTATATTGACCGTCAAAGTGAGAGCGGGAACCTTTTACGAAAGCAGACAACGGAGGCCACGTGGAAGAAGAAGGGCATGCTCCTCAAGCAGGGCTTTATCTACAAGAACACTTGGAAAAATAGGTACTTCTCGCTTCAGAACAACAAGTTGGGTTACGCGGACACAGAGCACGGTCCTATCAAGGGTGAAATCAACATTATTGGTAGTGTGATCTCAGAGATGTCGAACCAGCTAGACCACTCTCGCGGAACACGCGTCGTACTCTTCAACTGTTTCTCTGTTGACAGTGGTTACCAGAGGTTTGTTCTGTGTGCTCCGTCGTTTGAGGAGCAGAGGGAATGGATTGAAGTGCTGGCACAAAATGCAACTGCCGAGACTGCCGTGCGAAAAGACAACGAGACACTATCACAGCTCGATCTAGCTGAAGTGTCAGACCAATTGGAGGCGCTGGCAGGGAAGCACACGTCTGCGGATGAAGTGCCCGAGTCTTTGTTGCCGTATTCGGTGCTCGCTGTCAAAGAGTAGGTTCTATTCATCTAACTTTTTGTTTCTCCGAGCGATCGATTCCTAACTCGTTGCTTGCTTCTTTTTTCAGATGGCTGAATTTCCGAGTGACAGCGCTAGAGACTGAAAGCAAACTTGCTACTGGTCAGCCTTTCCAGATGCCAGTGCTGCTGTCCAAGTCGTCTTTGTATGCGGATGATGACTGAACGTAGTCGTTAGAGCGCCAGAGGATGCTTTTTTGGATATTGAAGTTTTTATCGGTAGGCACGTCTACTTGTTTTCTATCATTTATGTTAGTATATGCATCACCAACATGCCAAGTATTCGTATGTATGTCTACCACTTTTAGCGAAGCGATGTGTGTGAGATAGATCAGGCTGTCTGCTGCCGTTATTCTAATGCAACAATGTATCGGCTCATATGTTTGCAGATTTCTAGGAACAATTAATGGATATTCGCAGCACGTTTGAAGCATCGCTTGCTAATCCACCTTGCTTTGTCGTCAAGTTCCCACAATTTTGCAGCAGCTACGGAACAGGTCACTTTTCAACATCTTCCGCTTTGCCTTGTAGCATCTAAATGGTCAATCATCCTGAAATGCTTGACATCAAATCATTGCCCGAGAAATTCTGAATTTGCTGCTCCGAATTTCACCACTTGGTTCTTCGCTTCCTGTTCTTCTTCGTTCATGCTAAATACTTGAGCGAGAGCGTCAAACTTGACACTGGAATGTGTGCTACAGTGTGTACATTCTCCGTAAGGTGCTCAGAATCGAAACAATACACTCTGCGCTATATCCATCATTGTAAATCACTTCCTTGTACATCTTCTTGAACATTTCCAGCTTCTTGTTCCTTGCGTGGGCACTGCTGAGGCGTCCACCAGAGCATAATCGAATAAGCTGGTGCAGCACTGCCTTTACCTTTGCCACGATGTCGCGAGCAAGTGAGGTCATTTCGTCCATCTCGAGCTTTGAATCCGTAGTAGAGTTGGTGTTAAACGCTTCGTATGTGTTTAGCAGTATGAGCAAAGCATGTTCAATGCTTTCGAAATGACCACCAAGAATATGCAGATCCGCTAGCTCTTGATGGATCAGTACAAACGTTTTGCCGACTTCCACAGCACCAAAGTAGTTTAAAGCCTTTTCGTAATGTCTCCTAGCAATTTCCATGCGGCTTGTCAGTGTCGATGACGCTCCTTCAGACTTATCGACTTGTGCGCTCTTCCTCTCAGTATGCAACGTACTGGAAATCATGCGACTGTAGAACGAAGCAATCTGGTAGTGGGTAGACGCCGTTTGTTTCTGGTCACTCAGCTCTGCGTACAATGTCAACGCCTTATTAAACATTGTGAGCGTTTCATTTGCGCGTGCTTTCGTAGGAGAGTGCCCTGTAGTATCCAGAAAGGATGTATTGTTCGCCAGGTCTACCGCCCATACCAGATAGGTCAGCGCCAATTCACCTTTCACTTTTCGCTTCAAATCATTATCTGCATTGCTTTGCTTCAAAAGCTGCAAAGCTTCTGTACAAAGTTGAATTGCAGTTTGATAATGCTCTTCTCGTGAGTCCGCCGATTTACCTTGCGCAAATATTTTGTGAAGGTGTGCGAGGTTAGCCCGAAGCAGAGCTACGTTGATTCCGTCTAAAAGAGAGTCAGAAGTAAGTAATCCACGACTACCACGAAATCGGAACAGTAACAACATGCCAAGAAGATACCTTCGATGTCACTGAAGATCTTGCACCCACGCTCAAACCACCTGAAAGCTTCCTTGTAGTCGCACTTCACAGCAAGAAAATACTTGCCTAGCTCGTTGCTTGCGTTACCTAGTTTTCTCATCATCGTGCTACGTTAACACAAGAATACGCATCGGACACTCGTTAGGGCGATAAACAATCAAACCAGCCACACATTAGATGAATATGGACATACAAAAACAGGTCAGAGTTCGCCGGTGGTGATAGTGCGTGTAAGTAGGCCAGGAAAGAAAGCATCAGCAGACCCTCTTCTCTCCTTTCAAGCGTCTGGTTATCGGAAGACGTAACATCTTCTTTGCACGTCTGCATAAACTCACTTGCATTATCACGTAGACTTGCGAGCTGATCTCGTTTGGCACCCGAGATGATATCGTACAGAGCGATCAATTCACCATAAACGGTCACGGTTCTTTGAGTAGCTATGTCGCCAATCAAGCCAAGCAAGGAGCAACGGAGCTCAGCTTCAGAGACACAAATCGTGATCTTGTCTTGGGAGAATCCTCCTCTTCCAACACCTTCAAAGTCCAGCTTATCAAGCAGGGAGTCAAACGCAGCTTCATGCTCTCGCGAAGTCAACTCAAATGGCTGCACATCACCAGGAATGGAGCTCAGAGTTAAAAATTGACTTGCCTCAACAATACATTTCACCGCGTCAATCCACCTGTGACAGCTAACGTATACGTGTCCGAGCTCAAGGCATGCAGAGCTGAACTTCAGCTGAAGTCGACTCAATTCTTCATTCATGAAACTGCCCATCTCGCTGTCTCCATCTTCGTCTTCGGGTGCTAGTTCTCCCTCGCTTGCAATTGCAGCAGTCTCATCCGTTCCATCTTCACTGTGTGTCAGCGCGGGACCAGAATCTTTCGGAATGCATTCTTCAAACAAAATGATGCTCGCAAGCAAGTACTGTTTCGCCTTCTCAAGTGACCCGATTGCCGCCTCTCGATCCGAGTCTTCTGGTGCCAAATCTGCTGGATTAGAAGAATGAAATTCGTTGCACTCACGAAGATATGTATCAGCAAGCTGTTCACTGACCGACGAGCAAATAGAGCTGTGCGCCGTCCCTCCCTTTAGGGCAATTTCTCCCAATAAACTCATACACGTGCGCAATAATTCGCGTTGGCGCTGCTGAAGCTGCTGTTGCAGGTGCGGTGTTCCTGCCGCTAGTGAGTTAGATAGCCTTGAAGCCCGAGCTGCAAACCGATAGCACAACATTGCCATCATGTATTTCCACTTGAGCTGACTTCCTTGGGATAGCACGTCTACATCGTAGAGCCGTAACGATGTTTCACCTTCTTTTCGATGCAACCAGTACGTGCCATTTGGCCTGGAACAGTTCTCCTGAAGAAACTTGAGCAGCATTGACGCATTCATACTTACATCCTGGACGTCAAACAAGGGTCGTCCAGAGCCTGACATGTACGGAATTTGTCGTGTCTTTACGAGCTTGTAGCCACGGACCAGTCCTTTTGAATGCATGCAAATCGCCAGTTCCGGGATATTTGCAATGACGTTGTCCAAGTAATAGTCCAGCACAGTGCAGAGAGATAATTCCTTGTCCATATCGTGCAGTTTTAAAGAAACGGCTGGATGTTCCTGATTGCTGAACAAAAGAACTCGACTACCAAGCATCTAAAAGCAGAGTCCGACATTTGTAGTTAGTGTAGACACTCTACAGACTTTCAAGCTAAATAAAGATGCGTACCATGTTAAGATCGTTGAATTTCCATTTCAAAATGCGCTGGAACGTCTGTGAGTCTCCATGTGCTGGTGAATGCTGCGCTGCAGACGCAAACCAGTTTGTTCCTGTCGGGATGAACGGAGGACACGATTTTTGCCGGCTTGAAGGACTCGATTCGACCTCTTGCTGTGTGTCACGACTACAATGAGACTCATTTTCAGTCGCCCACGAACGATGGTGAGGTACCGAAGATGACGGCACGGGTACGCTCATCTCACCATCATCATCATCTTGTTGACTAGTAGTAACCAACGCAATTTGTTCACTCCAATTCGGAGTCTGTCTCTCATTCCCCACCGCAGCATTGAACGCTTCTATGTTCTTCTTCTTCTTTTTCGTCTTTTTAGCTTTCTTGGCATGTTTTTTCTTCATCTTGTGCTCTTCTTGTTTCTCCTTCTTTTCTTCCATCCTTTGATCCACTTTTTTATCCGACTCGAGAAACGAACTTTTTACTGTGCTCTCATAAATGAATTTTTCATACAATAATTTCTGCGTCGTTTCATCCGATTGATGTGCCAATTGTAAAGTATCTTGTGATAAATCCTCAAATCCAATCGGAAGATCATTTTCATCCAATTCTCCATCCACGACCAATGTCGATCCAACTCGATGTACTGCCAAGGATATTCTTGATTGCGAATAGGGTAATTTAAATAATCTCTTGATATTTTCAGCCGGTCCTAGAAAATCCACTTGTTCTTCGTCCAATGATGACGTCAACTCGACTCGATTTCCTCGTAATCGAACCGATAATTGTGGTTCATCCAGCTTACCAAGTTTCAGTGCATGGATAAAATCCAAAGACACGGGTGCGGTGGGTGAGATATTATCCGTTTCGACCTTTAAAAATCCAGATATTAATTCTTGCGTCGCCGTTTGAGGTTTTTTCAAATTGGATATTTCAGAATCCAAGGAATTTATCCGGAGACGAGGAGATGGCAACATTGTTGCGTTTAAATTTGTATCCAATTGTAATTTTTGAAACGGAACAAGAGCCGAGGATGAAGAATGCGGGTCAAGTTGATCAGAATGATGGTCGGTCTGTGGATATTCGAGACCTATTGGATAATCGGGAATATCCATGGAGGAGGATGGATTTTCTAGTACAGATAAATGAACATGTTGTTCCTTATGAGTGTCTTCTACCCAAACTGATACAGTGTTTGATCCTGTGGGACTTGGTGCAGGTGAGACAGGGAGAGCAAAGGACGCGACACTGCGTTCGTAGTCATCATTTGGGATGTCCATTTTGGATGTTTGTTGGATGTTTTGGAAAGCGAGATATTGAATTGGATTTTGGATGTTTGTGCAGGATATACTATTTGAAAACCGGTTGAATATTGATTGATGTACTAGCTGAATACCGGTAGAGATAGGCAGTTTCTTCAAAGTAACATGTCTATTAATTACGGGAGTAGTAATTGTCACTGATTTGATCAAATAGTATTACAAAAATATATTTAAATACGTTCTCATACTATAGCATTAATACAGCTTGAACCTGGCCTACAAAGCGCATGTGTGCAAATGCTGGAGCTGCAGCACCGCTACTTCCTAGCATATGGACGCCTGCTTTTGACATTTCGTCTGCGATTGTTACAGCAACAAGCTGATATGCTTTAGCTAACAACCGTATCATTACTTGCACGACCAATGAATTTGAGTGTCAAAGATGCAGGCTTTTATTGTAAAGTGCTGGGGTACCGCTAGAAGGCATCTAGCCTCGCTCATTGCTCGGTAAGGCCGTTCAACTCTTCCATTGAGTCCCCATGAAGGCATTAATAATGATTCAAAGTAAACCATCTTTGCTTTTTTTCCTGGTAAGATATCTGTTCGGGTGGTACTACTGTCATCGATATCTACTGACTGGTGCAACACCAGCACGAATACCGTCGCTCGAGCATTGTGTCGTGGCATTTTGCTTCATACATGCCCAATAGTAAAGTCCGCTGATCGGAGTGCTCTACTTCTTGACAGTGTTGTTGTTGTTGGTCATGTAGTGTCCTTCTCGGTTCTGATAATATGATAATGACGAAGCAAGCCGGGGTTTTATTACGTTGCATGCACTGGACGGGTTTCCTCATAGTCGTCAATGCACTGGGCGCACAACCATGCACTACCAAATTTGAACTAAAGAGCAACAACGACCAAGCGACGAAGGCCTCCAAAGAGCCGGCATTCCGGTCCTCTTACCTTGGGCGGGAGGGATGTCTCCCATCAGGGATCAGTCTGCCTGGCCCGTCTCGGACAGCCGATTTTAAACCTGACCTCCCTTTCAAGGCATCACCTGCCCCCTGCATGGTCAAACGGTCCCACGTTCCCTTTTGGAGTGTCCCCTATAAAGCCCATCGGATTGAGCCAGCAGAATGAGCTTGTGCATAGGAGAAGGACGTAGTCATGGTAGAAGATCAGAAGATTTCTCTCACAGACATATCTACAATAATCATAAGGAGTTCACTTCCCAATTCGAGCCTTCGAGCAACAACGGCCAAGAGACGAAGACCTTCAAAGAGCCGGTCAACCGGCCCCCTCCGACCAGGGCGGGAAGTCCCTCCAACGGGAGGCCCAGGATAAGAGGGGGGAGGTTTTCCCTCTGCTGCGTGCGCTATGGGGGGCAAGCGCAGCGTGCGAACCGTAAGGGGAGCACCAACCCTGTTACCCCCGGGGGGAGAGGATCGATGACCGCGGTTATCATTCCCTCTTTCCCCAATAGTTCCTGCTATTCTACGTCAGCCTTCAAGCCGCCGATTCGATCGCCGAGCGCGAATCTCGGTCCCACGAAGTGAACTTGCCAAGAACGTGAATTGATCGGCCCCGTCCAGGTGCATCAGCGGTCGATCGGTACTGATCGGTGTGGTGCCCGGCGCTTGTTGCGATCATTGAGCCACTGTTTACACCTCGGGCTGGATACCCGATTCCACGTGCCCTTTTCGGAGTGTCCCCCGTGACGCCCGACGTCTCGAGCCAGCAGATTGAGCCAGCGAGGCGAAGAATGGCGAAGTCCTGGTAGAAGCACTCCAGACATCTTGCCAATCCTTAATGTTTGAAATAGACGGTCTGTTCTTCTCTTTCTAGTGTACGCACTTGAGTAGAGAACGAGATGATGTCAAAGAATGAGCATTGGGTCTTTCCTGCATCTTCTTCACACCCAACAAAAGGCACCACTTTATTCAAAAGGTAAAAAGATAGACCTCGTTCAATCTTCTCATAACGTGACGACCACATCGCCCTAGTATAAGAAAAAGACAAAGATCTGTACTCCTCTCTATTGATGTTTAGCTGCCTGTGTTTCAAAACGCTTCTTGACCTCGGGCTGCATGACCGACTTGATACTCTCCATAAGCGTTTTGTTCTTATGTAGCTCATTCTAATAGCATTATTCAGTCAATTACAAGTGACACAATACCACTCAACAAGACAATCTTGTGACATCATACCATATAACAGCGCTTGTAAGCTTCGTATTCTTTCTGACAGCCAATTTCGCCTTGTGCCTTCTGCTGCAAGAATACATCCGTATACCACTTATCAAAGCACTGCTCATACGCCGCTTTCTTCTGCCAACAACCGGGCTCTTCCTTTGTCTCTTGATCTGCCATACGCATTATGAGGAGCTCCAAAATTATTGGCTGCAATCATTCCACGCCAATGAACTTGAACGATGTATGCGAAGGCCTTCAATCGGAATTAAAAAAAGTTTGCTCTGCGAAATGGCTACACTTTCGAGAGCAAGTAGGTACGTAGGTAGCACAATATCTACCGACTGCGCTGGAATTCGAGCTGATATTGCTGGTGTTGCAGCCCTTCTCGTTGTATTTGGGCCGGCAAAGATTGATACGATCGAGTAATGGATGGCGTGGCCGTTGGACCCGGTATCATGATGTGGTGGCCACTCAGGAAGCACTGATCACACACGCGCTGCGGCTCGGATAGCGCAAATTTGGGCAATGACACACGGTTCGTCGAGTGCTGGTAGCATACACTATGACCACAATTACGGCAGTGATGACGGCGTTTTACAAGTGTGAATCCGCATGCACACACGTGACACATGCGCGACTGCTTCCATCGTGGCGGGAACGCCGTCTTGCTGCGAGGGCCTGCACATAGACTTCTTGAGGTCATATTGACGTTGCCACGGTTAACGTTGACTTTTGTGGGCACGTGAAAATTAGTCACGTTAGAAATACCCTTGGCTGAGTCAAACATGCCAAGCGGCATGGAATCTTCAGCCGTTGCAATCGAGATCAAATCGTTCTCACGTTCACGGAGCCGTTGCTCTGTCAATAAAGACTTGACATGGGGATCACTTCTCGACACAATATTGCTCTGATCTCGTTGAGGATCCGATACGAAACCGCCATAACTCATACTTGTGCTCTCATAGGTGTCCCGTGGTAGGTCAAAGAACGAATCTTGTCGATCTGATAAACTCCTCTCGATTTTATTACTGCGCAGAGGTTGTTGTTGGAATGGCGGTAGCTGGTAATGTCGGTGTTGTTGTTGATACTCAAATTCATCTTCGTCCACCACGTCACTATCTTCACCGTAGTAGTAAGTATGATTCTGATGTGGCAGGTAGTCCGAGCCGTCACGAATATCATCATCATCATCATCATGCAGCAACGTGTTGTTATACGGCAGCTGATAGTCAATAGTTTCAGTGACTGATTCTCCATCCTCCTTGCCCATATAATCAGGTTCGTAGACTTCTCGACCGTCATCTTCCGGTCCTCGACTGCCATGCGCAGCAGCACGCAAAACTTCTAAAAAACGCTCCCCACACTCTGCTTGAACGGCCAAATCAATAGGCAAATGGCCAGCATCATTGCGCATATGCACAGCATACGGGTTGGCAAAAACCACCTTCACTACAATGTCTGTAGGCGTGTCCTGATGCAAACAGACCCAATGCAACACCGTCATACCACTAGCGTCCGTACGCTGAGCTACCTGACGGTTTTCACGTATTGCCAAGAGCAGTAAGTCCCATTCCCCATTAATCGCGTATAACAAGTCCCCGTCCATAATAAAATAAAGTCAATTGTAAATGGACTTCCTGGTCTTCTTGACCTATTTGACTTTTGGAGCTCTGCCTCAATAGTAGCCGACGAGTAGACGATGGACCTGGAATGACACTTTTACTCATTCGTGCATAACCGGAACGACGTAGCCTTTTTAACCAATAGGTAATGCGAGGGTAGGGCCAAGAGAGGCCTTCGGACAACCTTAGTGCTACATATCCTTGTGCTCTACTCCCGCTCTATGTTTTTTTGTAGATAAAGAGTGTCGGAAAGTGTACCTCGACCAGAGAGCCGTATTTTTCAATTGACAAATCTCTATCTTATCGCAATACGAACGAGCGAGACAGTGAAAAAGTGACAAAAACAGAAAAAGAGAAGAAAAAAAAGTGTTGTATGGCGGTCTATGGAACAAGAGGCATCTATACTGAAAGAATATGTACTAAACATACCTCGAGCTCATAGATCGTTTGCTTTTTTTGAACATGCGTAATCTGTTTTATGAGAGAATCACCCATTATGAGCTCTTGCCAGTATCTACTCATTTCGATATTATGAAATGCTGAAAATATAGTGTTAAAGAGAAGACATCATGTAACTCCTCTAAATCGCGTGTGCCACATAAACTTCGCTATCTACACCAAAATCGGTGTCATATACTTATGTTACATTCCCTCAATTTCCACCAATCTTAGCTCTTGTTCTACTCGATCGTTAAGTACCCCTAGCGTCTGTATAATTCCATTCATGGCCGCTGACGTCAGTGCTCGTGTCCATCTCGTGGCCGAGAAACTGCAGCTAAAAGCGCAGGATGCACAGCGTAAGGGCAACACTAAAGCGTCCGAAGCTCTGTATGCTTCTGTGTCTGATCTACGACAGGCATTAGCGCTTATCTCGGAGCAACGGCATCTTTTAACACGACGTAAAGGCGAAGGCTCCGACGAAGAAGAAGATGACGCTGATGCGGCCGTTCAGACGATTGTTACGCGATTATTAAGAGTTAAGACGACATTGGGGAAGAAAGCAGAAGATATGAAGACAAAAGGGAACGAGAAGGCAGCTACAGCGTTGCAGCAGTCGGCAATAGCAGTGGATCAAGGGTGTTTACGGTTAAAAGAGCAGCAGCAGACGATCTTTGGGCTATTGGGACGGTGGGAAAAGATGCAGAGTGTTGTTATTGGTGAGATGAGAGAGAGAACAGTGAGCAGTGATGGAGAAGAGAAGGAGGTACAGGAGAAAGAGGAGACAGAAGAGAGGAAAGTGATTGCTAGAGTGCAATATCTTGTACAGCTTGGTGAGGTGATTGCAGAGGTTTTTCCAGAATGTCAAAAGGTGGAAGACGTGCAGAAGGAGGCGGAAAGGTTGAAACAGGAGGCGGAAAGAGCGAGAGAAGAGGTGGAGGAAATGAAAGTGGTGATACAGAGAGTTAAGAAGAGAGAGACAGTGAGACAGGAAGAGGATGCTGCACTGTTGGAGCAACAACGAGAGGCGTGTCAGGCCATGGAGCAATTGGTGCGCGAAAGTGATGAGGAGATTCATCGGATGACGAAGAGTGCAATGACACGAGCTGAAGAAATGCAGTCGCTGAAAATTGAAATGGAGAGTCTGGTTGTGGAGAAGGATCGTCTCGTGAGAGCTCATAGGGATGAGATTGAGGAGGTGCAGGGACAATTAGCGAGTGCGATGGATGCTCTCTCGACAAAGATGGACGGCGAGAAATTGCAGGCTGAAGAGATGCAGATATTGCAAACCGAGCTGGACAGTGTAATTTTGGAGAAGAACAACCTTGTTAAAGCACATGCGGATGAAGTGGATGAGCTTCGTCGACAACTTGAGAGTGCAACGGCTTCTCTCTCCGCAACGTCGGCGGACACAGCAGAAGCTAATTGCGAAGAGCTACAGGCGTTGCTGGCCACGGTCGATACTTTAACTGCGGAAAAGGAGAATCTGATTAAATTGCATGTCAATGAAGTGAAAGAGCTTCAGAAGGCACATTCACACGAAATGGAAGATCTTCGTCAAAAGTTTGACTGTGCCATGAATGATGTTTCTACAAGTATAGAAGCGAGTGGAAGGGCAAGTGTCGGAAAAGTGCAGGGGATGCAGGCCACGGACAACTTGATCTCTGACAAAGAAGATCTTGCAAAGCCGTATGCGGAGAAGGTTGAGGCGCTTCAAAAAGCACATAGAGACGAAGTTGACGATCTTCGTCGACAGCTCGAGAGTGCGACATCTCTTCTTTCGGCAAGTGTGGAGAAGATGAATGGATCAAATGCCGAAGAATTGCAGTCGTTAAGAGACAAAGTAAATGACTTGACCTCAGAAAAAGAGGACCTTGCGAAAACCCATGGTAACGAGCTCGAAAAACTTTGGAAGGCGCATGTGGCCGAACTTGAAGACCTTCGCCACCAGCTTGAAGCCACCACAGATGATAGAGCTGACCACGCTACAAAGACTAAGGAGAGGCCCGAGTCAACTTTTGACGAACTACAGCAGATACGGGCCGAGGTGGGTGCTCTAATCATTGAGAAAGATCGCCTTGTAAGAGAACATGCAGTAGAGATTGATAAGCTTCTTCACCAGGTGAAGGGTGGAAAAGCCGGCGAAACAAGCAAGGAGGAGTCTAGTGTCCACGATAATGAATGTGATGGTGAATGTGTAGTGAACGATGACGTACCTGTTATGGAGTTAGAAGAAGACGAGCATCAGCCAGCTGATATTGCAGATGAAGACAAAGCGAATACAAACTTAGATGATGACAGTGACTCCAAGAATGCAATGGATAGTTTGAATGCAGGGAAGGATCATGCAGAGTCTCAGGAAAAAGCAGAGCTTCTCGCTAACGAAGAGACAAACGTCGTTGACAAGCTTCGAAGATCACATGAAGAAGAGACAAGATGTTTGATTCAGCGCCTTGCCGATAGCGAAGGCATGCGCGAGTCCCTTGTTACACAGCTGAAGGAGATGAAAAGTGAGCTTGCAGCTAAATCAGCTGAGCAAAAGGAGGCTGCAGAAGCGCTTATACACTGTAAAGCTGAGCTTTGTGCCTGTCGTTCCGAATTAGAAGCTCAAATTGTTGAGTGCAGTCAATTGAAGAGCGAGTTGGAGGCAGTGCGACATGCAGAGGCTGCTAAAAGCGGAGAGATTGACGAGCGCTTGTCGGAGTTCACTACTGAACTGCGCAAAGTCGTCATTGCTGTGAGGTCCCGTGACAGCGAGGCAATGCGTGACAGCAAGTTGTGGCAGTCTCCAGAAGTGAAAGAGCTATGTAGCGGGCTTGCACCACTACTGGTTGATCTGGTGTCCGCTCCAGACCGGATACATGCAATAGAGGAGCAACTGAAATTGATGTGTAGCGAGCGTGATAACGAGAAACTGATGATTGACCAGTTTGTAAAGACATCAGATTGGCGTTTGTTCGCGAAAGATGACGAGAAAGCGGATGAAGTTACGGGATCCCTGGATATGGATTTACAGGAGCGTTTATCTGTTGCCAAGATCAACATCCACCGCTGGCTAGATGAACTGCAGTTGCTTCGTGACCGCGTTGAGAAGGACTTGGTAAAGCTGAATACGTTGGAGCACGAGAAGCTGCAACACCAGAAACGATTGGTGGCACTCGAAGAATCTGAGCACGACCTCCACCTCCTGGTAGAGTCATTGAGAGAAGAATTGGAAGTCATGCGAACTGAGAATCAGGAAGCCGTAAAATTTGCGGAAAGGCTAAAGGCTCAAAACCATTCAGCTAGTATCCAGGAGCAACAGCAGCAGGCAGCTCAGCAGGAAGAGGTCGCTGAGTTACAGCAACAGCTAGTTACAGTGCGTAGTGACTTTGATCGGTACCGTGCTCGGTCACATACAGCGCTGAAGAAGATGGAAAAGCGCGCAGAGCTTTTGAACGGTATGCGAAAGGAGAACGAGGATTTGCTCAAGCAAGTAACGGAGAGTGATAGACAGCGAGAAGAGGCTATTGCTGCCCGTGAGGACAGCGAGTCTCGCCTCCAGGAGGTGCAGCGTACACAGGAGATGATGCAGGCAGAGTTCGAGCAACTTGCAACGGAAAAGTTGTGCATTATTGTCAAGCTGAAAGACCAAGGAGAGCGATTGGCTGCAGACCGAGAACAAATAGAAGCGAAAATTCAGGAGCTGGCAATCAAAACGCAAGAGCTAGAAATGGAGAAGAAACGAATTGTAGTGGAAAGTGATCGCAATAAGAAAGCAGAGCAGGCAGCTTTTCATGCTCAGCTTGATACCGCCACGGCGGTGGCGATTCGAACCGCAAAGCTGGATTTGCAAAAGGTGCATGATGCTCTTGAAGTAAGCAAGGCGGAGAATGACAAGCGGCAAAGGCATATTGAGTCTTTAGAGTTACAGCTGGAGAAGCAATCCCGTACAGCAGCAACATTTGACACGAAGACTAAGTCTCCAGTTGAAGCCAACGTTGTTATCCCTGCCCCTGTTGCTTATGTCTCACCGCTTGCGTCGTCCGCAGCTAAAGAGAAAACTAATGTGGCCGGTCTAGTGAAGGAAGTGAGCGTATTGAAAGCATCAGGTGCTTCCCTAAGGAAACAGCTGGATGACGCCCAGGCTGAGTTGGTTGCTCTGCAAGAGCGTTTTGCTACGACTAAAGCTGCTAATGCAGAGAAGGTGTTTGCGTTGGAGGAGAAAAGCAATCACTGGAAGATGGAGTTAGCGGTTGCGACCGAAGAAGTACAGCGTCTGAACACCGTCGTTGAAGCGCAGAAGAAAATGGTTCCGCAACCACTAACTAATGGTACAGTAAAATTAGCCACAGATAAGACAAAGGAAGGTCAGACCTCTGCAGCGCGGATGCACGAGTTATTGGAACAAAATCAGAGCCTTACAGCGGAGCTAGCTGATGCCAACACAGAAATCACTTTACTGACGAGGGCGTTGGATGATTGCCGAACGGAGTTGCAAGAAGCGCAGAGTCAACTCGAACAGCTTGCATTGTTATCATCTGAGCCCGAAAGCTGTGAGGATTCCAGTGCCATTTCGAAGGCGAAGAAAGCACTGGATCTGAGGGAAGAGGCGATAAAGAAGTTGCGTGTACAGGTATTTAATATGCAGGAAGAGATGCAGACACTTCGAAAAGAGAAGACAGCTCTTGAGCTCAAAGTGGAAAAAGGAGAATTGAATGAGCTGCAGGCTTGTCGGGATAACATACAGTCTGAAAAGGTGCGCGCGATGCAAGTGCAGAGGCGGCAAACCTTGGTGTCAGGTTTCGAGAAGCAGGTGGTGACGACGGTGGACGAGCTACAACAGCGACTGGAGCAACACTCCAGTGCTTTCCGTGAAGTGTGCGATTTTCGTGACGAACATTGTTCTTTTCTATTTTCGGATGGAGATGGAGGATATAGCAATTCATCTCAAGCTGTGGAACATGCTGATGATCCGGAGTTTGAGGAGTGTTTGGTGATGAGAAGTGGCGTGGTGATTAAAGCTGGTACTAGCTTCGAACTACCGGTATTTTGCGAGAAGAGCGGCTGGCGTGTGGTGTGGAGCTTCTCAATAAAGGAGGATGGAGCTGATGTTTCGTTCAAGTTGTCGGCAAGAACAAAGGATGAGACGTCGACCGAGACAGAGGTTGTATCTCCTGAGAGAATGAACGAGATGTCAGGGGTACTCCCGGTGCGGCATGATAACACGACGCTCGTGTTCGAATGGGATAATACCTTCTCTTGGCTCAATGAGAAGACATTGGACTACCACGTCTCTATCCAAGAGCCGCTGACTCCGCAGGCACAAAAGGTCCGACGTACTGAACGTGAACATCACACCAAGGCAAAGCTTCTGGAAGATGGTCTGGCACTTCTTCAAGCCGAGGCCCAGCGTCGTTCCGAGTTGTCAGATACCTTGAAGCGACTTGGTGAGTGTGAGGCTACCAAGGAAACACATTTGGCAGAGTTTAAGGCTCGCAAGACCGAGCTGTTGACACAGAAGAAGAGGTTTCAGGAAGAGATGGATGAGCAAAAGGTGTTGTTTTCAGCCATGCTTGAAGAACAAGATGAGCTAGAGGATATTGAACGTAGCATCGTCAAAACTTGGGAGTCCGCAGTTTCTGAGCGAGAAGATGTTGAAATGACGTTGCAGCTGGCAGGAAATGGTGCACAGCTAGAAGTACTGGCTCACAAGATGAAAGAGCAGGCACAATTTGTTGCAGAGCAATTGAAGAATCCCGGTTGTACTGCTCCTACTGCTGAGACTAGCAAAACAAGCGATGAAAAAGTGAGATCATCGTATGCTGAAGATAAAGTGGAGAAATCAAATTCTGAATGCGAGACTAAGATGAAGAACGAGCAGTGAAGACGTCTAATAGTTGCAGACATGTTTGAAGTCAAATATAAACTTGTTGAGGAGATTGAAGGACAGAGCCAACCCAGGCAGGGATCGAGTAGCTTCGTCTCTTTTTGTTGCAATCTTTTCAGACCAGTCACGCCGTATCTGACAGTATCAACGCCTCCTTGACGACGTTGTGTAGAGCCTCATACGCTCCATTGACAGATTATTATCCAATCATCATCTTAGAATCTGAGCGACATCCGTTCCTCTTCTTGATGGCGTCCTCGCCTTCCTCATCCGCGCCGGATACCGGTAACAAGACAGTAAATGGAAATATGTCAACAAGAAGAAATGCAGGCGCATCAGCTGCACTTTTTTCTGTCTCGAACAAAGACGTAGGAGCTAAGAGACAGTTTGTTGAACCTGAAGTTATTGCTCTAAATGAATTATTGGACACTTTTCCAAGCGAAATCGACGACACGCAAGTAAGCCACGACCAGAAACACAAACGTAAGAAGATACAAGGTACTGATGCTAAAGAGGCAGCTGTTTATAGCCACAAGAAGCAGCAAAAGGAGAAGAAAAACGAGGAGACAGAAGAAGAAGAAGAAGAAGAAGGACAAAAAGGGGCGTTAATAATGTCTGATACGGTACTTGCGCCAACAAGTCGACAGGGATTGACTACTACAGGCTCGAGATATACTGGAGGACAGATAAAACTTACGGACTTGGTACAACGTGTGCGTAATTTAGAGAGAGACAATCTGCATTTGAAGCAGGCTTTATTGTTGGGGAAAAATGCTACAGGACGGAAAACATCTGGAACTTTTGCGGCATTGGGAAGTTTAAACAATTTAGGAGCTCTAAGCAGTTTAGCCGGCTTGAGAAACATGGGAGAAAGGAGAACACTGAAAGCGGAGGAACGTGTCACTGTGGAGAGACTTTTGGCAGAGAGAACTAGAGTCGTGACGGAGATGGTGGAACATCTGAATGCTGCTTTTTTGAGTCTAGGAGATGCCTCAAGGGTGTGGCATGAAGATTGTCGTATCAGTGCTGGTGTCCGAGAGTGGGATGCCTTTGGACGTTTGCAGACTATTAGTCTGTGGAATATGATACGCTCAGTGTTCAAGAGCATTGTGGTTGATATTGTAGAGCTTCGACCACATCTTCCGGATGGTGAGATGATTCTGACCAAGTGGCGCATTCAGGGTGAAATCGCCTCGGCGCAACATCTGGAGCGCGTGTGCGCGTCGGAGGACTGCCCGGCGACTATGCGCGTAGCGCTTCTGGCAATCAAGTCGTCGGATTTGACGTTCACAGTTACCACGTACGTTGTATTCCACGATCTGCTTATTGCTGAGCAGCATCATTGCTGGGACCAGGTTGGCGTGTTCAAGCGGCTCTTCGGTGGCGAGATCCCGTTAACGGTACGGAACATGCTGGTCATCGATGAGGATACGGTTGCGGGCCGCAAGCAACCGCTTGCCGTGTAACGAGTCGTCGCTTCAGCTTGTATTTCGAAATATTTATCTCGTTTCCGTTAGCCAGCAAAGATGGCCAGCATGGTCTTACGCATGGTTCTGACTCAAAGGAACACTACGATACACTCCTCTATTTCGAATGGACCCAGGGGTGATAGCTTTTGTAGGTTTAGCTGGCAGGATGTTTTCATACTGTTCAGGGGCATTGAGCTTATAATTGCTTGTGAATGGCCCTATCGACATTATCAAACAGCGGTCAAGATGTGCATATCTTGAACTTGTGGGCTTCTTTTGGCAAGGGCATCGCGTGATGCGAGTCTTCGTTCGGACGCTTGAATGCGCATCTATCAGTGCATGCTGGTCTTACACGACGGAGCAGCCTCATGATGCACTGTTAAAAGGTGCACTACTGAATATACCCGGTTCGCAACGATCTACTTGATCCCGATTCTGGATCGAGTTGATCGTATGAGTACCGACTTGGTGCTGGTGCTGGTGCTTTTGCAAGTTACAGCTAATTTACAAGCGAACTTGTGCTCTATCAATGGTATAGACCACAAGAAGCCAAGAAAACAAGACAATGTCAAAAGTTTTGACCGAAGAACTTCTTCTAGTAATAGATTCAATAAGACCTCATGATCGAGACGATGAAATGTCAAGCTGCAAAGCACATGCAACGCAATGAAATGCTGCATATGTGATCAAGCGCACCTCTTGTTGAATACAGATAGGAAGAATGTGCCCTTTAGTCTACACGATAACTTTGAGCTTTTGCATCTAAAGGCCTCATACCGTGCATCAAAACCCTTTGAGATATTGCATTGAGAGCATTGGTACATTGTATTTACAGAGCTTTGTGATGGGTAGTGTTCGCTATGTAATAATGAGTGCGAAAACTACTGCACGAGACGGCGATTGTATCGCGTTGAACCTTCGATTCGATTCAACGCTGGATGCGAAAGATGTGGCTGAGATCTCTTGAAATCAGTGAGGAGAACTAAGTTAAAATGACGTGGGAGACCCTATCACCGGTAGGTGACATACTCGTCGATCAAGTCCAGGTGCTTGGCTTTCTTCTTGCAGTTTTCCCACATGCCCATTGTGAGCGGCACGCTCTTGCCCGACACGATTGTGCGCAAAGCTCGTCGGTCTTTGAGTTTGTCAGGAATTACCACCGGTGGGGTAGCCACGCACCGCATGTGGCCGAGGCTGAAGCGTGTGAGCTTAACTGGGTGCGTCTTGAGGATTTTCTGCTTGAGCACACGCACATCCTCCGGCAGCTCGATGGGCACCGGGTGGAAATGGCGACGAAAATTCGAGCGCTTCAAGAGTGCGCGAGGGGACTTGACGTGGCGGAGTTGTGACCGTTGAATGTGGAGTTGCGACCGCTGGATACGAAGCAGCAGGACTTTTGGTTGCATTCCCATTGTTGTAGTGACTGGAAGGACTTGACTTCGGAGCTGGCAGGTAAGTTGTGGAATGCCAATCTTCACAAAAAATGCGACGAGGCCGTAGTTTACAACCCCCCCCCCTCCGGTGGCCAATGGCTGGCAGAATCACACGGCTGTGGCGTGCCAGAAAGACCGTGGAACAATTGACCCCAACGCGAGACCGGTGCAAGGTTAGACTTACGGTGAGTATGGAGCGCGATCCTGAGATTAGCTACAGTCGCCTGTCTTTGATGTTCCGAAGGACCGATCCAAGTGCGCATACATTCCAGAAACAAGCCCTCTAGCTCCGAGGACAGCTGCAGTCTGGAGACTCTTACGGATCATGCAAACAACATTGTGCTTTAGTCTGTTATCAATATACTAGCAAATTGTGCACAGGGACTCTACAAGTATCATGAGTGGCTCATCAGCAGCGCCATTATATCGTTAGAGCGGCCTGGGATGACTCACGCGCGGTCTGAAGCGACAGGCCACTCAATTTGTCTGTCCTTTCTGTGCGCACACACGCCAGCTCGACTCGTCGCATTTTCGACTGTCACATTTCCAGTTTTTTTGCATAAAAAGCCCATTCCAAGCAGATTCAGGGGTGCTTGGATTCCAGAGGTTTCGAAAAGATCTTTACTGGCTCTTTCTTTGTGTGCCGCAGGACTGGTGGTTCGACCCGGGTCGTCACCTAAACTGATTTGCAAAGCCTCGCGTGCTCGATCATTCGTTACAAAGGAGAGAAATGCAAAACGCTACGAAGAACAAGGAAATTGACCTTTGCAGCAGTAAGAACGAAAAATAGTGGCACGAAGAGGCGTGTCTTCATCCTCGTTTACTACAGCTGCCTTCCTGCGACTTTATATGTCAGATTCAACTACCTGTCTTGACTTGGCAAGAGTGCACGCAGCGTACCAAGCGAACCACGCTGCAGTATAGTTAACGAGTACATGAAGACCAAAGTCGGTGGCTTACATGCGGCATTAGTACGCTTGGTAGGCAAGACGAACTCTCGGCCCGGTGTGTCACCGGTGTTATCGACTACAGGCAGCTGGTAGAACGGAAGTGAGGGAGACAGCTAATCTCGTCCAAATCACACTCGTCTGATCCAAAGTTTACCAACATGATATGAAATGGACTCCCAATCCTCATGACTGACGCTTCCGGTAATAATCTTTATACAGCATCAAGATAGAACTTGCCATGAAGCCTTCACCTGTAGTGCAACCGCAGACATATTGCATTGAGATTCACTTTTCGATACAAGTATCCGATTCCCTCAGATACTCGCTGGAGAGGCGAAGACAATTAGATATGAGTAGAGCCGAATGTGATCTGCCCGTCATGGTCAGTCTTTCACGATGGTCACAAGCCCGGCGTCAAGACTAGCCCTGCACGACACGTTGCGTTTTCTTGAATAAAACATTGCGTGGATTGGAAAAAAGCTGGACTGGCATTTCTTTATCATCGCAGTAGATCTTCTTTGCATGTATATGGCAGCATTATTCTCAGGTTCATGGTTGCACGGAGTCCACGAAGTTTCGTGCCGGTCTTGTTCGTGATGATTTCTCATGTCGAACGCTTGCAGGTCACTTTGCATGACTCTTTATAGAATATTAACAGCTACCTCTGCAATCTCAATCTACCAAGCCGTGGAAGGTAGACGGAACAAGCACGCGGGTACCATCTTCGCAGATTGCAAATAACATTGAATAGGTCAGAAATTATACTGCAAAGTCATGAAATGAGCATTTCGGCGCTTTGTCAACGGGCTTTCGCGGCTACATTAATTGCAGAAGCTGCACGTTATTACAATACAAAGGAGGCAGAAGGTGGACGCAAGTATGAGCGATGACGTCTGCGCGAATTTATGGGTCATTTACCAATTTGATTATTAACAATTAGCTCATTTATCAAATATATTGGATTCGTATGGTAATAAAACAATTATTGATTGACCAAAATTATAATTATCATTTTGATCCATGCTGTCATGTTATTTATCCACTTCAAAGGCACTCTGGTAAAACTTCTTCTGTTTGTCCGCAATGCCGTTTGACGACTCATTTTTTACAGATATGTGGTCTTTTAACAATGCCAACATTCAGCTGGACATTTCGTTCTGAAAAAACTGTCGACATTATATTGTTTCTGTGCAATTTAACTTGAGATTGGACGAGCCAGTCGGGTCGTGTGAGTTGTTCCTTCTCACTTCTTAATACTTTTACAATCCATTGAAGTAGTTTTGCAGAAGATTAAAGGTCTGTTACGGGTACACAGTGCTAGCAGTGATTGTTCTGTTGACATGTTTTGAGTTCTAGTCCACGACTATTGACTCATCGCGGTCGTCGCTGCATCACTTAGTTTCGACTAGAGTGACGCGCAAGTAAAGCGGCACTTGAATCATGCTCAATATGCGGGAAAGCGACGCAACAAAAATGAATCCGACCCATGTATCTTACTAGCAGTGGCGATCAATAAGTTGTTGAGAAGGAACATAGCACCACCGAAAGAGCCGAATAACTATCAACTAACGCTTCAAGGAGTTAAAATTGACCCGATCGTGATTGAAAAGCCGCGATAGTGTTGGACTGTAACGGGCTAAAAGTTACACGGTTCGTTACGTATTTGAAACTTAACGGGCAGGATTAAAATGGGTACAAGATACCATCGACCTGCCACTAGGGTGTGGCACATCAATGTGACCCACCCTTGTGAATGTGATATCCATGGATGGATTCACATTCAACGGGGATGACGCGCAGTTTGGACTGGTCGTCATGGTGACGCTTCAGACAGACGTCATCAGCGAGCTCATATATATTTCAAGCTCGCACGCAAGGATACGTTTCTAAAGAGACGCGTATCCAATCTTTGCATAATAAGCCAATCAGTAATTAAACTTATATTTAGTTAACTTCTATTAAATAAAAGCAAGTCTTGAATTTACTAATTACTGCCGCGTAGTACATGGCATCTTCTTTACGGAACGCCCGTCTACACTTGGTAGCACTAGTCGTCCTTCCCACGACCCGTCTCTCTTAGCGTGCGAGTGGATACGGATGTCCCTATCCACACGTGGATTGACGTGATTTTCCTCTCCTCTCCCAACATCATAGGGAGGTGGCAAAGCATTTGGTGCAGGGACTTGGTCGTCAATCTCTTAAATTGTCCTCCTGAGCAACATTTTGCTTAGTTGGAGCTATTCGAGGAGTTTGTGCTCGGACAGCGTAGAAATGCTTTCGAGGCAAGAAGCCAATCCACGGCTGAGTCCATCAGTAAGCCTCAGGATGAGCTTTTGCGTGTGCAAGCTCGAAATGAGGCGCTCAACAGAACTGTTGAGACGCTCTCTGCCCGGCCTAATCAACCGAGGCCCATTCGGATGGATCCTCCGAAGTTCGATGGAGCTACCCTTCACACGATTTTTCACTGGCTATTAGCAGTTAAGCAATGTGGAGTGGCGCAGCTCATCGAAGACGACACCAGGATGGTTTCGTATGCCATGTCCAACTTGCGTGGCAAAGCGTCAGAGTGGGCATACTCTGCGCTGATGGCAAATGCTGATGAGTTTCCATCATGGGCGATCTTTAAAACTAAAATTCGCGCCATGTATCAGCCGCCTAACAACGAAGTGTTGCTTATGGCGCGCTTCTTTGGAGCACGACAAGCAAAACGACCTCGAACCTGCTCAGTGACACACAATTGAGCAGCATGACCCTGGCCGCGCGCGCAAGAATTTATCTGACGAGAAAACCGTACGATCTGCAGGGAGCAGACACCGCGAGTCACGAACGCACGCTTGATCCCGTGAACGCTATACCGTTTATCGGCGCTAATCGTCCAGAATTGCGAGAACACATAACGAAACTCCTCATTCGCTATCATTCCGTTGGTGCCGTGGTTTACCACTTCACTGAGTTCTTGATCGTGATGTCGCTGGTTCGATCCCCACGTGCGCCAAATTCGATTTTCTATGGTACTTCACATAGTCGCAAATGCCATCCAAGTTTCTCGAGCGTCATAATAAATCTCGGAATCGCTCGGGGACTCGTCGTCAAAGTTCTGTTGCTCGCGAGCATCACGGCTCGCGAGATTGGGGCTGTAATCGGCAGCATCGCTCGATATCGCCGTCTTCCTACGCGACTCATAATCCTCGACCACGTCTGGTACATCCTGAGCCAGCATACTTCTAGGTTCCCATGTATCGTCTGCCGGCGAATATCCCAACCAGCGAGCCCCGTAATGTTTCTCAACGTGGTTCTTCGTGGGCGCCAAGTTATTACTCGGCGCCTGGGGATTGTGATCCTCGTGATCGACAATTCGGTCGACAATCCAACGTCGCGCACCCGATGCATCAATTAAGGGAGAAGGAGCATCACGACAGAAGACCTCTGGCGATGAGCGCCGATTATTCGCAATCGGCCGCCTGTACAGTCGAATGATGAGCTGCGTTTACTTCGCGCTGAAGCCGAGGAGTCGAAGAATGCCCTAATTGATGCTCGCGAGATGGCTGAGAGAGCTCAAGATCGTGCGGATGCTGCGACTGAGGCTGCTGAGCGGACTCGACGTGAGCAGCTGGTACTGGTGGAGCGCCTACGCCAACTTGAGACGACTTCGTTCCGAGGACCCCAGCAGATCGAGTCTTCACGCGTTCTGGCAGGACTTGGACCCAGTCTTCGTCAGCGTCGTCGTCAAGGGATGTCGGATTTCGAGCCGGCACAGAAGAGCGGGGAAGATTCGAAGGGAGATCCGCCGGTAGGTAAGCCTTGAGGCGCCCGACGTATAACGTCGGGTGCAAACGCATAGATGTAGGTATGTCTAGCGTGTAAGCGCCACCATGCACCTTAACAACCCGAAATGGGCCAATATATCTTGGCGCTAACTTAGTAGCGCCCAAATTCGTCACTGAGGTGTTCTGTAATCTACTTACTGATAATTATACTCTTTGACCTCCTCGAAATATCAACATATTCTTTCGACCTCCTCTGTCTGCA